TGTGTATGCAGCCTAATGTTAGGCAAAGTGGGAACCGACCTCTCACCGAATCATTTAACTTATTCTGTATGTTAAATCCAAGTCCACGTGGGGCTTAGCTGTTATATTTACTTTAATGTCAATATGGTACTGATATTTAATTAGCATGTTGATGATGTCTGATTATTTCTCGACAGTAACACAATCATGGATTGTTCGTGCATGATTGTGTTGTGCCTCGGCTTAGAGAGTTTGATTACCTCCAAATGTGTCTCAGCTTTTGGTAAACTATTTTGTTGTTTTGTAATCAAGTATCTTCGATCATATGATATATGCATTTTACTATCTCCCTGCTTTATAGTTTATCACATGCATGGACAATTATATTAATCCTTAGTTTAATTAAAGTCGCTAGTGTATGTTCATAATAGGTTTCGAACATGTCTGATTCATTACCGTGTCTCCAGAATAAAGTTGTGGATATAGTTTTTTAAGGGACGTAATTTAATTGTTCAAAATGTATATTTTTCCCTCTTCAAAGTAAAATTGCCATTTTGTATATCTTTTTAACAAATATATAATATATAAAAACGAGTGATATGATCTTAAAAGAAGTTGGTGCGAGATTATTAAAAAGTCCATTTGTCAATAAAATAAGTCATGCGTGTAAGGGAAATTTCATATTAATTACTCAAAGCAGTATAATATTATATTTTAGTGCCTAGATCATGGTATATTTCAACACAAGTAGATTTAATAAAATGATCACATCAACTTATCTTAACTAGGCCATGTTACCCAGTTATATTTATTTATTTATTCTTTGTAATTGAGATTTAACGTGAAGACAATATTAAAAGCAAAATATTTTAGAGTTAGATGACAAATTAGCTTTTAAACTATAGGTTTAGGAATGCCTATGACCCTAAACTTATTTTTTATGTAATATTTTCTTTTAACTTTTAAAAACGGTGTAATATGTTAATATTATTATTAACAAAAGTTAATTTTAACTATTAGTTTATTAAAATATGATAGACAAATACTTCAAAAATTATAGAAAAAGACAACAAAATTACAGATAATGACAACAAAATTTACAGAAAAAGATCAAGAAAATTTTATTAATTTTTTTATAATCTTTGATGTCATTTTTTTAATAATTTTTTTAGTTAATTGATAATCAAAGTTAATATTAATCAACAGTAGGGGACACGTTGCACATTTTAGAATGATGAAGGTGAGCATTACTCTAAAAAATATGAATTTAGAATCTCAAACACTACTGAACATATAACTTAGATGCTAATTTGACATTTAATCTAATATTTTAAATATAAATTTAAATAAATGGATTGAACTTTGAAGAACTAAATTAAAATTAACAAACATATTATCAAAATTTTTCCCCTAATTAAATCTGATATACATAATTAAAGGGAACTATTGAGTCATCAACACAATTTATGTATCCTGATGAGGGATTTTTCTTTCAGTATTCCTGGAGTGATTAGAAATAAACTGAATTATTGCACTGGTTGTGGTTGTTTTCGTGCAAACCAAAAGAAAGAAACAAAAAGGTTGCAGTGACGCGAATCCCAGAAAATGGCAAGAAAAAGCATTAATGGAAGGGAAAAATGAGATGAAAATCTAGCAGCTAGCTAGGATTTGGGGTACAAGAGAGATTTTAATCATGGTTTTGCCATTTTCACAACTTTCAAAATGAGAATTGGAAGGGGCATATCACAGAGCCGAATAGGGCAAGAATGAGAGGAAGAGGATAGAAGAGAGCAATATATGTCGAGCTCTCTCTCTCTCTCATATGGTCACATGCTTCCTAGCTCAAACCCCAAATCCCAATCCATGCACGTACGGCGATCCATATACATTATTATTGCACTGGACGCCATTTACGGCAATCAAAGTGACATGAGATTTGGCTCTGTGTTTGCACTGTGGAGTTGGAAAGGGTATATATCGTTGTTGTTTCTCTTCTATGTCCACGTGATCTTGTGGCTTTTCTTGCCTGCCTTGGTCCCCATAAAGATCTTCAATATCTTACTAACAGTGCCCCCCACCTTCTCTCTCCCTTCTGGACAAAACCCTTTCTCTCTCTCTCTCTCGCTCTCACACACACACACTCACACGTTGTATTCGGCATCCTCAATAAGCTTTATGCTGTAGCTGCTGCAACTTTGTTCCGAAAAAGGAAAACCAGATAAGATCAGTTTTACTAGCCACTCGTTTAAATTGTTACGCTGTTCAAGTCTAAATGGACTTGAGTTAATGTGAGAGAATAAAATCTTGATAATTAATAAAAAATAGAGAGAAATTACTCATAAACCTGAGTTTAATTTGAGGTTTTGAATTAAGATGCTATTTGACTACTTGTCCTTTTCCCCATTTCTGACTACAGCCAGGACTTGTGAGCTAATACAAGATAAAAAGAAATGATTCGTAAATTTTAGCATTCACATAAACATGTTATTATATTTTTAAATTATATATGCTATGGTCTCGGCGTAAAGTATCACGAGATTGACACAAGGAATTGCAAAATTACAGAAGGAATATTGGCAGCTACATATTTTAGTGATGTTTGGAAAGAAGGATTTTTTAAAAAAAAAAATTACTGTCGTGATGCTTTGTCAGAATTGAAAAGCTTACCCTCCAGAAAACAACAAAAATCTAAGCCAGCTAGATCCAGATTCATTCGATGATCGATGTCTTGTCTTGTATCTTTTGAACACAAACCTTTGCATATATAATGATGAAGATGATGCTTATGGCTTTACTATAGCCATTATAGGGATCGGTCCGAAATAAGAGCGGTGTAAGTTCATTGTATATGTTCATTGCTCACAATAATTCACTCCACAAAAATGTCAAAGTCACAATATCAGTCGTTAATGGTGGCAACATATACATATATTGCTACATCGCTCTCTTTGTATCCTCTCGAGATGAATTGGGATTCCACCAAAACGTGTCCAACGAGACTCTAATCAATCAATACGTGGTCCTATATTCCGGGGAAAAAAAAACATTCTATAACATGCTATGTTTCCCCACATGCATTTTCTTCTCCAAAATAATGTGTTTCGTTAGGTAGAAGAAGACCTAACTGCCACTGTTAGGACATGTGGGAAGGTATTCTCACAAAAATTATAAATGCCACATGCATATTCATTGAAATCCAACCAATAAGGACCATCGAGTTAGAGTTATGAAGTCATTGATTTTTGTCATTTATTGGTCATGCATGGGGCACATGTTTTTTGTCAAAGATCTTAAATCTTAATGGGCAAGCATTAAGGTATTCAAAAATATTGCTCCAATATTGATATTGATCAGCCATGCATATATATAAATGGTGGAGGGTCTTGCTACCAGATAGCTCCCCCTACCTGCGAGATCTTCGGGTCAAAGATTGTTCTTTGAACAAAAACACTTTGTTCTTAATTAGTCCAATTTCCCCACTTATTATTCCAGTCAAAATATTCGATCATGACCTAAGAAGATCACGTACTTGTCTTTGCCTTCTCTGTTTAAATAATTAATTTTAATTAGCCACCTCCGTGGCCTAAACCAAACCTTTGGTTAGTACAGATAGATTCCTCGTTAGCTTTTTCGACATTCTTTTCCACATTTTTAATAGTTGTGTGTGTGTCAATATATATAATGTTATTTATTACTCAAATTGCACCAACTAGATTTTCAGCCACTTCAAAAGCTAACCCTGCTAGCTCCAAAATTATATATGTATAGTGTACTATATATGTTAATGATCAGTTCTCACTGGATTCTCTCTTGCGTGTGTGTGGCATGGTGTTATTTTTTTCAGAGCCATATCTTTTTAAAAATGAAATGCAAGCCAGGCGTTAGTGTTATTTATTTAGACATATATAAATATATCCCTGTGGTATTATCATACAAATTAAGCAGTCTTGTTTAGCTAGCTAGCTGGGTTCATTAGATATATAATTAAAGTAGGCAAATAAAAACAGTACAGTGCAAATGGGTATATATAGTTCAATGAGGATTTAGCCAACTAATGATAATCAACCCTCTCAAAGGAAGAATATATATTTAAAAAAAAACTAATACATAGACATGTATGACAACATCAATAATAATATAAGTAAGAAAACATACATACTATATATATATATATATAGCGAGACAAGAAATGGGCGGGCATAATTATAGTAGCATTTGGAAGCTTGACTTTAATTTTCATTGATTACATGTTGGCATAGACGGTCACAAACAAAATCTGGCCAGAAGGAAATCTGATTTGATGTCTCCCTCAGTTCAATATTGGCCATTACCCTTCCGTGAACCACAACAGGTGAATTCATTACCACATAGCTTCTGGTTCAGCCTTTCCCCCAAAAAAACCCAAAAAAAAAAAAAAATTTAATGGATCTTTCTGATAATTACCTAATCTTTACCGTCCTCAGACCCTTGAATGCCAAGTCGCATCATTTTTGCGCAATATTAAAGTGCGACACACCAGTTCACGATGGATGATGGTTGACCAACGTTGACCACACACAATCTTGATCCAACGGTCTATAGGCGTTCCCTGGTCGCTCGTCTGTCTCTCTCTCTCTGATAAATTGATGAGGCCCACAGTATTGGAAAATTTATCTGTGGGTTTAAATTGCTGCGAATCTTCGTGATCATTATGATGCGCGCACACACACACACACAAGCACATATATTCACAAAAAAACACGTACCCCATATGTTAATATTTTATTTTAAAAAAATCAATTACTTTCCCTCCTCATGAATAGTTTCATGACGTTTTGGAAGGGAAAAGGAAAAATAATCTTTAGTCATGTTCCATCGTATCTTTGAACTTTGAATTTTAGCCACCTCTCTCTCTCTGTCATTTACACATCCCCACCTACGACGTCGTTGCCTTTACCCGAGAATTCCACCTTTTTACCTCATGCAAATTATATATAACCCCACTTTTCCTTTCCCTCCCTAATTCATCCTCACCACCACAAGCTCAAGCTCTCCTCCTCCTCCTCCTCCAGCTCTTGTCTTTCATTCTCACTGTCTTTCCCTGCTAGCTTCAGAAATGGCTGAGAATTTCCCCTTTCCTACATATTTCGTACTGACTATAATAACCATAACCCGTTTGATATCAACTGTGGGCAAAACCGAGCTCACAGGGCCGAGTCTGGTACCTTCGAATATATCCCACAGGCTACGTGACGACCCGGAAGCCATTAAAATAGCTTCAAGCGACTATGGCAATCTCGTTCGTGAGTCTCCTCTCGCCGTGTTTCAACCATCTTCCATATACGACATTATCAGCTTGATAAAATCCTCCTACACCAGCTCTGTTCCTTTCCACATCGCCGCCAGAGGACAAGGCCACTCAACTCGCGGCCAAGCCATGGTTCCCAACGGCGTCGTCGTCGACATGTCCGCCCTCCGGCGACAGAGTCTCGGCTTCGGAATCGGTTCTGTGTTCCATGACCCTTCCGTCGGTTACTACGCCGACGTCGGAGGTGAACAGCTCTGGATTGATGTTCTTCAGGCCACGCTCCGACACGGACTTGCACCGCCATCGTGGACGGATTATCTCTACCTGACCGTCGGCGGCACTCTGTCTAACGCCGGCATCAGCGGCCAGACCTTCCGTTACGGACCTCAGATCAGCAATGTCCATGAAATGGATGTCATCACTGGTATGATCAAAAGCATACTAAAAGCTGTTGCTTTCTCTCAAGTTTTAATTTAATAAATTTGAATCAACTGATCGTATAAAAAAAATAGATTGATTTGAGATGATAGTTAAAGTACTATAAAAAGACAAACTTTTTAAAACTAAATAGATTGATTTCGTTTTTTCTGGAAATTTTGTGGATGTTGCAGTGTTTCATCGGGGCCCCCCCTACTTTGAACAATTCCTTCTGTCACCAGTTTCCACGGTCATAGCCAACCTCTCTTGATTTATTCACTAATATTTAACTAATAAACAATTCTGTCTTATATAATTGAGATCAAGCAGGCTACTTGGGCTCAACTCTCAAGTCGCGTATGGTCAACTTTTTTTATATCGTAGAAAACTGAAACACTTATTGACTGTTGACCAGGACATACAAGTATATATATATATATATATATTTTAACATGCATGTGGCTAATAACAATATAAAGAAAATTATGTGAAAGGATTTTATGTTTGTTGTGATTGATTCAGGAAAAGGAGATTTCTTAACCTGCTCGCCGGAGAAGAACTCAGAACTTTTTCATGGGGTTCTTGGAGGTTTGGGGCAATTTGGAATCATAGCAAGAGCAAGAATCGCTCTTCGGCCAGCTCCAAAACGAGTACGTTATATATATATATATATATATATATTTTGCACGAGAATTGACTGCCACTTTGTCTCCTAGCTCGCTACACTTAATTCTTCAAGCCATTCATTACGTTCATATATAATGTCAAAAAAAAAAAAACCCTCTGTTCCTCACATTTTTCAACTCTTGCATTTATTAAAACTCTGCAATCTGTCCTTTTCCCAAAAGTCAGAGTTCACTCACACCCTCATATCTTATTCACACCGTTCACATATATACACCCTACGTTTCTGCATGTCTTTGTACATGTTACACGTATTTACCAAATTACGAGTTTGAAACTTTGTAAAAGGAAAAAAAAAAGTAGATATGTGAGGATTAATCATCAAATAAACGATCAGTGTCTATGGCATGCATGCATTATTGATGCATTAATTAGTGAATTAGTACAATAAAGGGATGTTAATAATGGAGGATATTTGTATGTGTGTTTCGCAGGTTAAGTGGGTCAGAGTGATCTACAATGATTTCTCTGCCTTCACAAAAGACCAAGAACGATTAATCTCAATCAGTGGAGAAAAGAAGAGAGATAATGATGATGATGATAATGCCTTAGATTATTTGGAAGGGATGCTTCTGATGCACCAAGGACCCATCAATAATTGGAGATCCTCTTTCTTTCCATCATCAGACCACCCTAAAATAATCTCTCTACTTGTTCAACATAGCATTCTATACTGCCTCGAATTCGCCAAATACTATGATGACCATTCTGAACATAGTGTGGACAAGGTATATATATTCTCAATTGATCCTATTTTAACTTTTAGTTCTCACATGCAAACTTTAACTTGCTTGTTGTATCTGTATGTGTGCTGTATAGGAACTTCAAGAAATGGTCCGAGGACTGAGCTATGTTCCTGGGTTTTATTACGAGAAAAATGTGTCGTTTATGGAGTTCTTGAATAGAGTTCGGAGTGGAGAGCTAAAGCTTCAATCACAAGGACTATGGGATGTTCCTCATCCATGGCTAAATATGTTTGTACCCAAATCTCGAATCCACGATTTTGATTCTGGGGTTTTTAAAGATATTATCCTCAAACGAAACATTACCAAAGGACCAGTCTTAGTTTATCCCATGAACCGAAGCAAGTAAGTCCAGAATCACAGATAATTCTTATTTGCTTAAAAAACGAGAAATTAAAGATGCAATTTTTTGTCCAAAACAAGAAGCCTAAAGGGAAAAAAAAAAAATTTCACCCATTTTTCAGGTGGAACGACAAAATGTCAGCGAGTATACCAGACGAGGAAGTGTTTTACACAGTGGGATTTTTGCATTCAAGTGGGTTTGATGATTGGAAAGCATTTGATGTTCAAAATAGAGATATATTGAGGTTCTGTGAGGAAGCTGGGATCAAGGTGAAGCAGTATCTGCCTCACTACGCAACACAGCAAGAGTGGACAAACCATTTTGGCACCAAATGGATGAGTTTCCAAGAAAGAAAATATCAGTTTGATCCAAGAATGATTCTATCACCAGGACAGAGAATCTTCAACAACATTGATTGATTAGCTACAAGTCATTCTTTTCTTTTATTTTTTTTCGTATTTATTAATTTCCCAAGAAAAGAGTGGTATATATGTGGTACTACCTCACTTTTAGTTAATTAATTAATTAGCTAGCTGGTTGCAGGTGTATATGACACCAGATTTGCTTAGATGATAGTTTGTCTTTTTAAGTTATTAGTTCTGTAAACTTTTTGTTAATTAATGAGAAACATATTAAGAGAGTTCAAAGTCCGCCAAAAAAAATATAATTAACTTGTAGACCTTGCTTACACACACACACACACAATTTAGCGTTACATCATTAATTAACTTGTTCACTTAAAAAAAAATCATATAATAAATATCAATACTAATATTATTGACATTTATTTTACATAGATAGCTCCAATAAATTAGTTGAGGAAATTAGTGTAAAGAAAAGTATGAAACAGCTGTCTAGCTGTCTTTGTTTCTCTCTCTTACGTGTGTTTCTCACTTTCTCTGTCATCATATTGATCAGTAGTTTTCGAAGCATACATGAAGAGAAAACGATATATTACGACGTTTATGGTGCATTTCAGCACAAGTACGAAAGAATATATCCCAGTAGAACTTCGCCTATATATCCGTAATATTTTCCTCCTAAATAATTTGAGTATATATGTTCTTCATAATACTATTGTGATGACTATGATGTGATTAGTAATTATATATAATGAATAACATTTGAGTGGAGTCAAGGGATTTGATATTCCTTGAATAAGATTTTGGGTTTAATTTTTTTAGAATTAAAAAATAGGGATAATATATAACTTTTAGCATCTAAACTTCCTCTTAATTATCAATTTAGCCTTTAAATGGACTCAATACAACTTAATTCTTGTAATTAAAATTTAAAAACTGAATTGATGAAGAAAAACTGATTCTAGGATCAAAAATTAAATTTTCCCTTGGGTGAGAGGGCCAACCAAATATGTTTGCCTGTTTGGATCCGATAATACTCATATTTAACTTCATAAAACTAGATAGCAGGTAATTATACCCAAAGGAATAAATGCAAAATAATATTTTATTAAATAATTACTCAAACTGTTTAATAATGTACTTCATATTTGGAGGAACATAAGATTCATCAATGATTTCTCTAATTAGTCAAGCCTCCATGCGTGCTTCATTGGCAATTAGTGTATTTTGTCCACTAATGATATTGTCTTAACTTGATTTTCTTTTGCTTTATTTCTTCCTTTTTGTGAGGGCAGCCTAGCTAGCATTAATAATAATTGATGATATCCTCCTAGGTTACTTACAATTATATGTATAGTGTCTATCTACAGCTGGGGATCTTCATAGCTGTATTCCATGAATCAATCATCGTAGGTTGCTAGATAGATATGATAACGCCAAATGGTTCAAATACTATAATCAGTTTTTTAAATTTAAAGCCAAGATCTTTCTTCCTTATATATGTTATATATATAGATCACACTGCTTTGTGAGGATGATAAAAGAATTCAGATCATAACCCCTCAATCAACTGAGGGTGCAACCATTGGAGAGAAGCTACTCATAGTTTATATAATTGGTGGGTCACATTTCAAACTTTGTTTTAAGAAAATAAAATCAGGTTTGTAGGGAATTTAATAAATAATCATTCATGAATTGATTGATTATAGAAACTTTTTTAACATCTTAAAAAGCTCAAGCTTTCTTAATACATATTTTTCTGAAGTAGCATGTGTGTGTGAGAGAGAATAATAGTTAATAATCAATTATACATACATACATACATACATACATACATATATTAATAATTGAAGATCTTAGAAATAGAAATTCTACTAAAATATTTTACATAAATTATTATCAATACCTATTAAAATTATAAATTATTAAAATTACAATATAATATTTTTAGATTTCAAGAATATATTTATTCATGATACTAACTTTAATTTCAGAAGATTAAATTATAGTTTTATTGGAGGCATAATTAAGTAGTAATTTATAAGAAAAAGTAATGACAACTTATTTGTACACTCCATCCATCTGTTTAGTATTATAAAACATTTTTAACTTAATTATGCATCTAGTAAGTTAACTAATTATCTTTAAAATTACACACTCTTTCTATGTTTACCCATATTCTTAATTAAAAAACTTTATTAATTGCACTATCTAATTTAAAAAAATTATTGATTATATCATGAAAAATAAAAAATATCATATGTTTTTTTTAAAAATTTACTTGAAACAAATGCCTTCGGATAGAATAATTTTAAAAATGTCTTATCAACATAAATTAAGTTATCCCTTAATGGATGTTTTCCCCCATTAAATTATAAATAAAATAAAACCATTTACGTTGAAAGAAGTCCTTGGTGATAAGAAGAGAATTCAATTTTAAAAGAATGAGGTAGCTGGCCTTTGTCCAATTATAGGAACCAACCACACATATTTCTTTTGCCAAACTAACATATATTAAATGTGATGGAATCACTTTAGCCAACCCTAAAAAGAAAAAAAAATAAAAAAGAAAAGAATGTGTTTGGTTCTAAACTTTTAGGGTTTCAGATATATATGTAACGTATAGACCCACGAGGGCCTTCGTTGTCACAAATTAAAGCAAACCTCTTCTCTTACTTCTTATAAGTATATACCTATTAATTATTTAGTTGTCCTTCTTTCATTTGCTTTAAAGATGATTACTCTGGTTTTTTCTTCGTGTTTGTGTTCAAATTGCTTTTTTTTAAAATAATAATTCCCGATTATCATTGTTAATAAGATTCGATAATAAAGGTCGTACGATCCTTCGGCTTTTGCCCCCATAAAGCGAAACTTGTATCACTTTCTATAATTTATTAAACAAAAATTGCTCATTAATTAATTGACTAAAGTAATGCGCTTTACGGCCTAAACAGGACCCAAAAGCTTCTTATTTAATTAATTACGCTTGTCCATTGCAAATACTTCACTTAACTCAATTAAGCAGGTTTGGATTTTTTTTGTATATGCTGCATAAAATGTCAAAAATAATTACTACTAGTAGTCTATTATTTATAATTTATAAATAATATATTTTGATAATATTTTATTTTTTTTATATTGATATTAATGAATATGAGTCTCTCAATTAAAGCAGGTTTTGTAACACTTAATTCCAGCTTGCAGGCAGTCAGGAGACAGAGAAAGTGGGGAGAGCTACAGTCATTTTTTTGACCTTTTTTTCAATATAAATATTTTATTTTATTTTATTTTATTTTATTTTTGTTTTTTGGTTGCAGCCAACAGAGAAGAAACGCTTTTAAGGATTGATGTCTTGTTGGTGTGGAAAATCCAAGACAAGATCCCAACATTCACAGACTGTGAATTATACTCATGTTGACGAGTTTTCATTCATTATATTAGTAAATAGTAATAATAATAATATTTATTAACACATCTATCCCCATCTGTAACAGAATCTAATCATCACAAAGATTTTTCCTAACCCTAGCTTTCCTTTTCTTCTTTACCACCATTACTTGAATTATTTTTTTTAAAAGGATATCTGTATCTTTAAATGATTATCTTGATCTTTTGTTCTCCTATTAAGATATTAATTTTTAAATTTTTTACCATCTCCCAGTCCACTAAATGGAGAATTACCTATCTCTTGGTCACTTGGAAGTTAAATAGTTAATGCTCATATTATTTTGGATCGAATTTAACCTGATTGATACCTGACAGGGTCATGAACCAATAACCAATTCGTATGGATTTAATTAATCTCGATATTTAAGTTGAATTTTTTATTTTTTTATCTATATCTTAGATGGATTACTCACATATGAATTCTGAAACTTCATCACATTTACCGATTACCACATGAGTCAACATGTTCGAATTTAAGACGTGCAACGTCCATCTTTTATTTAGACAATTTAAATAATTAATATTTAAACGATTTAGATTTAAAATTTATACTCTATATTCAAATCGTAATTCAAACGCTTATATTACTTCAATAGTGTTGTAATTATTTAGAGACATGTGAGTTTTCCTGTAAATGTAAGGTCATGGGTTTAATTTGCTTATAATCTTAGGCCATTAATGTTTGTTCCCCTTATTAAAAAAACTATCTTTATATAAAAGACTAATTTCACTGGTCCTTAACACACCGTCCTTTGCAAAATTCAATGTAATATTTGTGATTCATTTACGAAAATACAATTCCAATCATCTTCTCATGATATGGGAAAAGACTTGTCTTATATAATTAAAGTAAGATTTAGATACTTGTTCTTATATAATTAATATATTTTTATTAAATCAAATTAAGATAAATAAATTTTAAATTATTGATAATACTAATAACACAAATTTATTGCAAAATAAATCATCTATAAAATATACACATATATTGATCTAATTAAAAATAAATAATACATGCTTACAAAAAAGATGACATGAAGTAATTTTTTTTTTTCCATTTTCATGATTTTAAACTTTCAAAAATCAGGCCATAAAGAATGGGTTGGAACCAGTTTAGATTGAGGGTGTCAGATCATCCAATTTCCAAATAACATTATTTTAAAAAAAAAGTAAGGCTGGTAAATTTGTTTGAAAGGGCGATGTTGACAAAGGAAAGGTGTCAACTTCCTTTTTTAGTGAGTTATCTTATCTCAAACGTCCACCAATAGTTGACCAGCGCAATCTTGCCAGTTGCCAGCATCGGTTTTTGTTGTTTGCTTGTGAATTATCTGGATTTTTCTTTTAAAATTGTTATTTTATGAATAAATAATAAGCTTAGATGCACTTCCCTGTCATAAAAAAGATAATATATGCGTGACTCAATTACAAATTGAATAAATTGGCTCAATAGTCATGAAAAATATATTAACAAAAAATTATGAAATTTTTTTTTGAAAATTTTAAAATGTGGCCCATATATAATTAGTTGGGGTGTGATTTTTTCTTTTTATTCCCAAAACAAATAAAAAAACTTGCATAATAGAATAAAAAATTCTCGTAACTGAATTATTAAAATTGTCACCTGTTTACAATCATATATCATTTCAATATTCGAATACTTTTGAATATTTTACCGTGAGCTTAATAGGTATAATATATTTCAATTTTGAGAATGAGAATAAGATTTTAGATTTAAGAAGAGGTGTTTTTGTTATTTCAATTTGACTTAAATATTAATCCGGCCACATTGTAAAATATTTAAAATGTTAGACTGTTATCTTTATTTGGTTCTATTAATTGGGCTATATGTGCAAACATACAGATTCTATGTTATCATGTTTTCATAAATTTAATGTTAAAAAATTATACTTAAACTATTTCTTTCTCGTTTTTCTTCTTCTTTTTGGTTTTTTGTCAAGAGTCTTTTTGAGACTAGGAGTATTTTTTATTGACTACAAAAAGACTAATTTTTGTTAAACAAAATAGTAAAGGCAAAATATGAACTACATCATTTAAGCTTATTTATACACAATTTCTAACTACTTATTTAAGAGACAAGAGCTTCTATCAACGACTTGTGTCTACGTAAGTTGTTGTGTTTAAACTATTTTTTAGAAAATATTAAATTGTTTGGGAGAAAAAAATGAATATAAGTTCTTGGGAAAATATCAACTGAGGACCACTAAAGCTATTTTATATTAAAGAAGAATATAAGATTTTGAAATTGCATTGTAACCACTTGGTCCTTAGTTGAAAATAAAATTTTATGAAAAATAATTATAATACTCCTAATTTTTTTTGTTTTTAACAAAAAACTCCACTATCACTACCGCTGGAGACTCTGCTGGCGGTGAGATCATCAGAACCCTTGCCATTGGAGCCACTACCCAAAAAACTTATTTTCAGCTAAGTATCAAGGAGCTGTAATGTAATTTCAATATCTTACAATCCTTCTTAGATATAAAGTAGCCTCAGTGGTCCTCAGCTAATATTCCCCCTAATTCTTAAGCCAGAGGCGTTCAGAGTGAAGCAGCAGTTATCCTATTTTTTAACAATAATGGATAAGTTTTCTGAAAATATTAACAGACCGTCCTCAGACGACAAGTCAACAATTTTAAGTTCATCATTTGAAAATCTATATATTATGAATAACCAGAGGTAAGTCCTATGTGGTGTTACTTAAAAAGGCAACACAGTTCTAACTTATAATATATACGACAATTGTTTGCAATCCCATGGTAATAGTCCCAGGGATCATTATCAATAAGCACAAGAACAGATCTCTCTAAAATAGCTCACATGCCATTAATAAGCAGGTGAAGTTTGTCATCAGCGTCACAATCAAATGGCTCAAACCAGCCAGATATAATACAAGCCCTGTTATATATATTATGAGACGATATAAAAGCAGAGTTCATAAACCCTCTAGGACAGAACTACCTAACCTAAGCATTGCCCTGATGCAACGTTTCCTTTAGGAAGTTCACAACGACGGAGGTTAATTCAGCTTGGTGGTCAGAATATATGTGATTAGCTCCTTCTATGATATGTAGCTTGTGGTTAGGTAGGATCTTGGTGAACTCGTATGCATCTCTAACAGGGATAGCTTGGTCAGCAGAACCATGGACTGTGAAGACCCTGTCACACACGGCAACAATGTAATAACATCAAAGCTTTCCAATGAAGATACAACAGACACATTTTTTACACTTGACATTATAGTATTGGCACTTGAGTTTCATTAGGACTGCACTCATCAGGAAAATAAACCCTGATTATTATGATAACTAAGAGTCTGATAGTAGGACCACAAGAAGATACTTATATAACTTCGAATGCATATACGTAAATTTTTTCTTAATCTACAAAGGTTTCCTAAATACATAAAACACTTTAATGGGGTTTACTACAAATAACTTTTTACTTAATCCACAAAGTTTTCTTAAACACTAACTCTTAAATAGCTGTTTTTTTAGAAACTTTACTTTATATTGAAATATCATCAGCATTATGGGAAGGTAGCTCTGATTTAAGTTTTGATGTAGACATACATGGTCCATGAAAAAATTTGACAAGAGGCAAAAGGGTCAAGTGAGGGAAAAAGGAGAGGAGAACTATCAGACAACTTGTTTTCCCCTTACCTGCATTCTTTGTCAATCTTAAGGCATTCTTCACGCATATTTATACTTAGGCGATCCTTCAGACTTTCCTCAGTGACCCTATAACTTCCTACAAAAGTAGATAGATTTCTTTTAGTGAACATAAACAATAAAAGAGAATGCATGAACATGTATGTACAGGAAACAGACTATTTTGTCGACTGCCAGATTAATAGCGTTTCCATCAAGTGTTAAGATGTCTTTCTGATGGAATAAATGACAGAAAAGTAAGACTGTTGAAGCAGAAGCTTCGTGACAATGATTGTACAGCCCCCAACTTAATATTCTAAAGAGTGTAGGAAAAACAAATCAAGACACAGTTCTCAACTCGCTGGATTTAGTGATTTTCATTCCACAGCAGGATCAGAATAAAGAGGCAAGTAATCATAGATAAAAAGAATTTGTTAAAAAATCTCTTACAGGACGCTTCCAAACCAATTTAGGCATTCAATGACATTCCTAAATAAGTGACAGATCACCTGAATTAATCTTCACCTCAATGAAGCCTTCCTTCCTTATTCTGTCCATAAAATCCTTGCCAAGACGTTCTTCAATGCCTTCCATCAGATTATAGCGACCAGAGAGGTTGAAAACTGTCTTAATGTCATGATACTTTGAAGCATATAGAAGCACCACATTGGCTCCTGTATCCAAGTACAGCAACAATTAGTAATGGTTCCAATAAGCCTACAGTACCTCGTTCACAATGCTACAAGTTGTAGGACAAAAGACAATGAGCTAATAAACACAAGACATGGATGAGTAGCCCACGTTTTGCTTGCCTTCACCTGGGTAAGCTTCTTTACATTATCATGTGTGACATTATGTCAGTGTATGAACTTTGTTTTTTATCCGGAAGGGGTCAGAGATAATCTAGGGAGTTTATTCCTCTATTTCAGCATGCTGCGTTCTCACTTTCCTCTTTGGACATCTCTTTTACATGCTTGACTTATCTGTTTCTTATCTAATAATGCAATCAGAAAAAAATGCGCCTGGTTGAAAGTTTTATTGAGTTTCACAAAGGGTTGCAGTTATGTCTCAAGAAATTACAGTCAAATTGAAAATTCACATTATCAGTTCTAATTAGAAGATAAATGATGATAAATCAATCATCTAAATTATATAAAGATGTTTTCCTTTGTCTATTCTTATTTGTAGAAATATATAAGCATGCATCGAGAACAAATATAAACAAACCTTTACTGTGCCCAATAATTGCAATAACTCTGCGGTTTGCTTCATGGAAATGTTGGATCACTGCATTCAAATCGTCAACCTCTCTACAATAGTTTCCAAATCCAAATGAACCTTCACTTTCCCTGGAAAGAAGCAACAAAATCAAAATGAAATGGTATGAAATAAGACTAACAGTGAGGATGAAATGTATAAACCACAAAAGACAGTTTTGACTATAGTAAGACACTGCAGGCCATAACCATTGCATATACTAATTTTGTTTGCACAATTATAAATGTATTTTGCAAGTTCTGTAATCTGTAGCATGATCTATCATTGATACTTCAATTTCCTATATTTAACAAAATATTAATAGCCCCCAATATTTGGACATCACCTTTATCAAGCTAAAGCATTCTAAAAATATCCTTCCACAAGAAAAACTAAGATGACAAACGGTATCAATTTTAGTAAGTTCCTCACTCTGATGAGGCCAATATCTATAGCAACAAGTAAAGCCAAGTGTTTGGTACAAAAGCAATACTTCACATGCATAATCTTCAAAATTCACAGCTTCATTCTGTAACATTAGAAACATACCCATTTCCAGTGAAGTCGAAGCGAAAAGAACTAATTCCAGACTTTCCCAGAGCAGAAGCAAGGTTCACCATGATATTGTCTTCCTGAAAATGAGAAAACTTAATTAGCTAACCAGCAGAGTTAGGATTTATCAGGTGTCACACTCAATTTTAATGATAACGCATCTCCACAATAGTAATGAACGAGGGCTTTCTGTATCAATAAAAGTAACCTTTGAGGCTCCAAGACCGTGGCATAAGATAACAATTTCCAAGGTTCCAGAATCATGTAGGATGCCAACTAGTTTATCTTGCTGCTTGTTGGGTATTATGACTTTTTGTTGATGAATAGCTGAAACAATAATTGAGCAATCACATATTTATTTATTTACTTTGTTAAAAATCCAAATTGCTGGTAAGATTACCAATTTAAACACTGCTGCAAGAATTGCAAAACATCAGCATCATTTTCCCAAGTTGATAGTCCATTTTTAGGATATTATACTTTTGAAATACTACTTTTGATATTTGCTCATTTGTTATTTTCATACAAATAAAAAAAAATACAGTGAAATTATTTAGACGATATAGATCCTGCTTTCAGAAGTACACACGTAACATTATTAAGAGAAAAAAGAATAAAACAAGAGAAAGAAGTGATCTCTAAAGATAACATGCTCAAAGGGGATCTTCAAGCAGCCTTCCTTTTTTCCATTTTCGCTATGGAAAACAGAGATCACTGGTATTTTAGAGGGTTCTAAGCTAAACCCACTAGAAGCTAAGGAAATGAGCACAGCAACAATGAGGGCAGGAAACCTTGCTAATGAGATCAATTGTTGTGTGGTACAGTCAAAAGTACGTAAAATCGGACCGGTCATGGCACTAGGTCACGGTTAGTGGTTAAACCAAGGTTGAACCGGGGTTTAAACAGGTCATGATTAAAATAATACAATTTAAATAAAAAGATATTGACTATAAAAACATTCAATCAAATCCAACCACTAAAAAGTCTAACAATAATAAAATACAACATTTTACAATTACAACCCTTCAATCATTAAAAAGTCTAAAACTAATATTCATTAACACCAAAGTCATCATTAACTTCATTCAAATCTCTACGCTTAAAGTAACAATCAGCCAAAGTAAAATCAAAAATGCAAAGGGGAGAGGGAAGAGAAGACAAGACACAAGTTATAGAGACTAACTTAATGCAAAGGGAATGCGAGCATGAGCTAAGATGTAGAAGACTTCAGTAGCGAAGGTGAGAAGAGAAAGAACGTCATGCTAAGCTGTCAAGTTGGGCCACACATTGTCGACAGTGAGAAGAATTACAGCATCTGGTTAGGTTTACAGCAAACAAAGGTTTACGGTGAGCAAATGAGAAAAGACGGAGACAAGAGCGATTGGCCGATTAGGTTAAGACGAGAGATAAATGTCTGCATTGATGCACTCTGCTCTGCCTCTGATTTCATTTTTCATTTTTCATTTCTTCATTCAATTTCAAAATTTGAAAACTCTAAAAAAATTGTGGGTTTTGCATAAAAAAATAATAACCCGGCCAACCCAGTCAACCCACTGGGTTAGCTGGGTGATACCGGGTCACACCGGATCAACCATTGATTGGGTTAGATGGAAACCCAGACTGGTAAAGAGACTGGGTCGCCAGTTCACGAGTTAACCCGACCGGTCTGATCCAGGTTTCCATACCATGGGTACAGTTAAGGTCAAAGCCTTTAGACAATGACCACTAGAATAACTCATGGGTACAGTTAAGGTCAAAGCCTTTAGACAATGACCACTAGAATAACTTGGTTTAAATCATATCCAATGTGAGGAAGTTCAAGAGACATTTTTCCGTGAGTACAAGTGATAAGAATATTATAAGCAATCATGCAAACATAAACATATAAAGATTTTTAAATATTATATATAAATATGGAATTTGAGCAGGAAATAGCAACTATTTATTGATACGGGTAGCTTCGAAAGAAAGCAGGAATTAGATGTTCAGGCATCGATCAATTTGGTCTGAAATAATTAAATGAGCATAAATTATCAACATTGTCTAAATAGATAATGCTAATACGCCCGGTTCAATCTCGACAAATGAATGAACAGAGTTACCGTTTGATTCAGATAACTCGTAAACGAAACCATAATTTTTAAGTTTTTGTTCTGAGTCATAGTCAGATTCGTATATAGAGCCGAGTAGCAACTAACAAGCACTAAGAAGACTAATTAATCTATTTTCTTGGAATTTCTTTTCCCTCAAAATGCCATCAGCTACGAGCGTTTTCGAGCACATAAGCTAAAGCCTTTGCTTTTAATAGATAACGGGGTAGTAATCAACCTCTTAATTAACTTGCATAACAGGGCAAAACAAAGACTTACCTAGGTCTTGTGGAGCTCGGGCCATCCTTAAATTTAGGCTTCTTCTGGGTTTCCGACTGCCAAGGAAGGATATGGGACCTGGCTTATAAGAAAGATTAAGAAACTTGGGGACACGAGGCTTTCCTGAAACGGATGAATCTGACAGCACCGAATAAAACTTTTGAAAAATAGTCTCCATTCAAAGCATCACAATTTACAAGCGACAGTTCACTTACAAGTCGCTCACAACTTCTGGTCGGCTGCAGTCATGGTCCGAAACCGTAAGTCCCCTGTCCGTCAAGTCCCGACCATCGATGACCAGCGTCGGATTGCCCCCGTTTTTTTTTTTTTTTTCATAAAAGATTTTCATTTTTTTATTGCCAAGACGTAGTCCTCTCTTATTGGACCTTGGAAGCAATTCTCCCCAACCCTGACAAAGATTTGTAAATTTTATTATAAGAGAGTATGATTTATTAAATTTCCAAATTTTACAATAAAATATGTTATACATTAAAATAAAAAAAATAAAATATTATTTAAATATATAAATAATAATTAAATTTTTTAAAATATTATAATTCTACTGAACTTTTTTAATATTTTTATGATATTAATAATTTAAATTAAATGATTAAATTATTTTTTATTTAAACTAAAAAATAATAATAAGTTCAGGTGAAAAATTATGATTTTTATTTAATTTTTGATATTTATCAAAATAAAAATTATAATTACTTAAGCAAAATTTGTAACTAATTTTTTTTCATAATTTAGACTTTAGTAATAGAAGAGATTTCATATGAAAAGTTATAATTTTTTATTTAATTTTTATTATTTATAAAATAAAATTTATAATTGTTTAAATAAAAATTCTGATTAATTGTTTTTAGAACATTGATTTCAATAATCAAAAGAAATTTTATGTGATAAGTTGTAAATTTTTTATTTAATTTTTATGATTCACAATATAAAAATTATTAACAAAAGTTGTGATTGAGAAAATAAGTCAGACCCATTATTTTTATTTCAAATAAAAGATAATTTAATCATTTAACACAAAGTTATTATTGTCAAAAAAAATACTCAAATACTTCAAAAAAAATTTAATATTTTGAGAGACCTAATATATATACATTAATGAAATTTTATTCTCATTTTTCTTTAAAAAGAAAAGAAAAGAAACGGTCCACAGGACTTGCGAATTATAAATCCATGGTCCAAACAAAACAAGGGCTTCTCACCTGTCTCACGTCACATGCTTTAATAATAATAATAATAATAATATCATCATCATCATCATCGTCATCATCTTCATCTGTCTTAATCAGGAGCTTGATAAAGAATTTCATCGGGAAAATATCATTCAAGACTATTGAAGTAATTTAACATTTTATAAGAATCAAAATATTTTGAAATATTACCGTAAAGCCAGGGAATCGATTTAAAAATAATTTTAGATGAGGAGCTAGAAAAAAAAATTATTTACTAATGCTTCTTTGCTTAATGACTTTTCTATTCTTGTTTTGGATGGGTTTCAATTTCAGTTAAATGTAATTGATTATGAAAATATTGATTAATATGATTGATGTTGATTATTAATTGTCTAATGTAATTATGTTTGGATATTATTTTTTTAAAATTTGATTTTGACAAAATTGAAGATGTTTAAATAATTTCAGGGTTGCACAAAAGATTGAATGGCACTGGACTTCGATCTAATCCAAAGTCTGGTCTCTTTCATGAAAAAAATTGGGTTAGGCAACCCATAGTCTGGTCTTATTCAATAATAACTTAAAAATTAACAAGACTATACTTGATATATAAGATTGAGAAACTGCCCTTGTTAATCCAGTACTCACTTAGCTATTTTTTTCTTTTTTTCATGAGAGGCAGTAATTTATTTCAATCTAATAAACTCAATTAAAATTATAAAAACACTTATAATTACAATAAATCCATAATAATTTCCATCAATAAGAAAAAAATATTTCAGTTATAGTCCAAATGATTTAAACTTATAATTTCAATAAATACAACACTCAACAAACTTTAACAATACTACATTACATCAATAATTTTAAAACAAACTCAGCAAATCTTTATGCAATCATCTCCTTAACGCTAATTACACTTGAAACATTTGTAAAAAATAAATTAATTATAATTATATTAAATAAATTAATAGGATCAAACTAGACCAAGTGGTCTAGATGCCTAGTCTCCTGTATAGTCCAATTCGAATAAATAGTTTGATCTTTTTAGTCTTTTTAGTCTTAAAGAACCAGTGTTTATATAGATTGGATAGGACAAGACCATTTCAGGTCAAACTAGGTCGAAAGACTTTTGCACATCCCTAAATGATTTAATCAAAATCAATCTTAGATATGCAAGTTACCATAAAAGCCATGAGTTTTATTGTGTAAATATTAATAAAGTTACATGTAATATTATTAATTTTTTTTATATATTTAACAAATAAATATATAATAACGATTCATTTCATATTTAAATTGCATTATATTATAATATAGATAATTTAATCACTAATGGTTGGTTGGCATTAAAATACTAGTAAACAAAAAATATAAACTACTCCCTCCATCTCAAATTATAGGACAATTTTAAAGGAATTTTTTAATTTTAAAATATAAGATACTTTAGGTAGATTAAGGTTTCATTAAATGTGCCAATTTCAATATTACTCTTTTATCTCTCTATAATTAATTTTCATCCCTTCTTTTTTAATATATTAAATTATAGGTATTTTTTAAATTTTATATTTTTGCTTTAGAAAGATAAGGCTATTAGGTGTATTTAATGAGGTTTATTGATATGTAAAATTTTATCTAAAAGTATATTATAATTTAAAATGAAAGAAATACTAAAAAAAACTTTACTATATTTGGTTGGAGGGGAGAGGAGGGTTGGGGAACCCTCCAACCAAAGAGAGGGTAAAAGGAAAAATATATAAAAACCAATCTCCCAATATATAATAAAAAAAATATCTGTTGGTCTGATAATAAAGGGGAAAATGTATACAAGCATTTACCCTTCATAGATAAAAAATAGCACTTCTTGATCAAATTAAACAAATAGAAATTGTCGGTACGGAGGACTTCGGATGCATATAAGATAAAACATATGGAGGTTTTTTACTTCATAAATCACAAGCTACATACAGGGCCATACTTGGATTGTTCAAATTTCTTACATACAATTAGTACAACAGAAGACACAATTGATATACAGAAGTAGGTGCAATCAGCTTCTCTAAAAATGAAGTTTAGAATCCAAAATCAATTAATGGAAAGAAGAGGATGTTTGGGCTTTTTAATAGAAAACCATGGGTTTAGAATCAATTATTTAATCAATCCAAACAGGCATTTTGAATCCTTCTCTTTGTTTTTTTTTTGAATTATCTGATATAGTTCTTGCAACTTGATTCTTTAGTTTTTTATCAAGTGATACTCTTACAGTATTTGTTGATGATATTCATCGTAATGGATGTCGTAACATCCCAAGTTTCAATTCGCTGATTAATTAAACCTAATTAGGGTAATTAAATAAGTTGAAGTGATGTATGGCCTGGAAGGTCTAATAATCATATTTGATTATATTTCAGCCCTAATTGTGGGTCCGATATCAAGACGGGCCACCCAGGCATCAAAAGTTAAAGAAACATGAAAAGTGATATTGCTGTGTCACACACCGTGGTGTGGAGATTGTTCGCTATGATGCACAGACACTTCAGACACGAGGAGGACCTCTCTGTGCCATGCGCTGCGGCGCATGGCTATTTTTTACAATTTATTAGACATGAACCTGAGACAGAAAAGAGAGAAGAGAAAAGAGAAAACAGAGAGACGTGCCAATGCTCTGCTAGGGCACCACTTAAATGAGAATTTGAGAAAGTTTGAAACTCTAAATCATCTAAGGTAAGATTTCTAAACTTTTTTTCTCCTTTCCTCTTCCATTTTCTTAAGGATTTGAGTTAGGGTTTAGATGAGGCTGGTGATTTTGGTCCATATGAGGTATGGGTCACCTATTAACTTAAATGGAGTTAGAAGGAGTTGTTTAGAGTATTTAAACCTAGTATAAATGAGTTTTGGTGTCTTGAATTGTTGGACACCATTAATATCTAAAAATTTCATTTATTATGGGTGGTTGGAAGATTGTGATATCATTAATGAGAATTTAATGGTTCATTAATGTTGTTAGAGACTAAAGATAATAATTAAATCCAAGGGATAGGCTTAAATTCTTGTGGAGTGAATGTTAGGCAATTTAAAAGTGAAAATTGAGGGTTTAATGCTTGAGATAGTAATGTTGATAAAATTCAACTTGATTGATTGTAGTATTTGGCTCTTGGTCACCTATTGAATTGAAAATTTAAGATTGAAAGCTAGTAAATTGATGGGTAAATCTTTAACCTCTTAAAGGTTTGAGGTAATCGGGGGAACTTTATTTTTAGTAGTTATATGTTAATTGATTGTGAATTTATTTCTAATCGTGAATATTATATGCATGAATTGATCTTCAATGTAAACGCATTTATTAGCTTTAATAGGTGTGTGAAAATTTGAATGTGCATAATGTTATTTTTGGTTTGAAGTATAAATGTGAAATTAAGATAGTTTTCGAACTATGAACCTGCATATGCCTTTGGAAAAATGAATGTGATGATTGTGTGAGATAGATGTGTGTTAATGAGAAATGGATTTTGAGAATAATATTGAGCAAATGATAAGAATACATACTTGGATAGCGCATGGCGTGAGCCCAACATGATTATTGTATTACTGAGTAAACGAAAATAAAAATGTAAAAATGAGTAAATATGTTATGGCATGATCAGTCGCAGGAGTTCGCCTAGGGATTTAGGAGTAGAGAAAAATTCATATGGTACTTAGGCTACCCTCCTTGCACAGGGGTTATAGTCTTGTCCCACTGTTTGTCGAGGGACTAAAATCTAGCTATTTCTATTGATTTAATGAGGAGAATAGCCTAAGGTATGAGACACCCTAGAGATTCAAGAATGGGGAAAGCCGTGGTCTGAGAGTGAGTCATGTGATCTTTGGCTGGGTCATACCTTACGATTGATGAGCTTGGGTGGTCCAATCACACAGACGAAACCCTAATCAATGTTATAACCTACAGTTTCAATCTAAAAGAGAACATAAGGTTGGTTGATCATTGCCTATATCAATATATAAAGTCTCACATGTGTTACGTTATGACAAGTTACATGAATAATGGGTCATGTCACATATCTGAGAATATGGTGACAATGCACCTAGTATATGTGAGTTAAAGAAGTTATTAAAGGATAAATGAGAAATTATGATATGTGT